TTCCCAGTTGTTCATACTGCTTCTCCTGCAGCTTTGAAGTGACATTCCCTTTACTAGCATGATTGGTCCTATGCCATTAGACAAACTCTGGATTCTTTCACTGTTGATTCCAAATCTAACAGAAGCCAATGTAGCTCATGAGTGTTTACTTCTTTGTTTGTGCACTGGTATTATCGCTGAACTTTACCAGTGAAAGAGGTTGCCAGGACTAAACACAAAATGTAAATGGAAGTAGATGTATTGTTGGAAACACTGGTAAACACTTTCTGTGTGGCTGTACATCAATACAAACTGGGAAGTTACTCTTGTTTTGCTGTGAGAACTCTGGAACATGCTGCAGTTCCATTGCCTGAATAACCTATAGGCTGAATCTGATTTTTCATTAAAATGGCCTTGTTTGTGCCTCTTGCCAGTAGTGGTTATCTGGCTGAGCAGGGACATTGGCTTTGACACCAAGAGCATGAGAGCTGCTTGTAGGACATTGAAATTCTAGTTTCCGACCTGATTTATAAGTAGTTTATACTTTAAGCTTTCCTGTTTAGTAGTTAAATAAACTGTTTAATGTTTAAAAAGTAAAATTTTTGTGATAATTAAACCAGTATGCAGGAAAAAACCTGAGCATGGCCACATCTTGGCTGAGCCTTTCAGTGTGTTCCCACAGTTCAGATCCCAGTTCTGCTCTGAAAGAGCTCCTGGTTGCAGAGCACTGTGGAAAGCTCATGTAATCCAGCACTGTGAGCACTCACCTCATGACTGTATATTTATATTGATGCCTGCTCAGCTGGTGTTACAAAAAAATTCAGGAGCCGTTTAGCTGGGGTGAGATAAGAAAGGGTTTAATTATGCCAAGGCAATAGATGCTACGACGCGCGCGCCGGGCTGTGCCCGGGATGTTACATTCACAACAACATTTGGCCAATCCCAAGCGTGTCCACCCCATAACCCCTGGCCTGGTCCACCCCCTGGCCCGCCCCTCAAAACTGGGTCTGGGCTGCTCCCCGGGACCCCCTCTTCATCATCCTCCTCATCCTCAGCGTACAGAGAGCAGGGCGACCCAGCTCCTCGACTCCGTCCTGCGGCCCAGGCCAAGACACAAGCGTTCTCCAAACAAGACAGGCTTGCCTTGACTAAGAGACCAAACATCATCTGCTGAATATGGGAATAGGGTTGATATAGGGAGTATGGAATGGGGTGAAAGGATTGAGGAATATAAACTAAGGAATACTACGGGGAGGAGGGAGAAAGGGGTTTATTTCTAAAATCTACTTCTATTACCTACAAAACTTGTAAGGTAGAAAAATAAGAAAATCATTATGGGCTTAAGGCATCAATATCCACTTGTCTCCTATTCACAAAATAGATTGACAAGATGTTAGGGAATACACTGCAGGGAAAATACCATGTTGTGGAGGCAGATACATGGCCTGGCAGAATTTTCCATCTACTTATTTCTGCTGTTGCAGTATTACTGTGTAGATCCAAACTGGAAGATGATTTGTGCAGACCGTGCACGCCACCTTGATTTTACATTCTGCCCTGTTTGTGGCACTCTGGAAATTATAAGGATACCCAAATAGTGTAATTCAGCAAACACACCTACTTTTAGCTGTCAAGGATATCTGGCTCTTTCTTTCATCCTATGGGGCACAACACTACTCTTGGCTCTAGATGAAAAAGTGTTTTGTTTTCCTTATTATTATAAGCAATGCAGCACAGGAGTGGGAGTCAGGAGAGTCAGAAAGTAAGAACCCTGCTGATAAAAGCTCCTTGCCGTGCAGCAGCCTTTAACAGGTTATCGGGAAAAGTCTGCATTCAGAACATGTTAGAAAAAACTTGCAACAGCATCCTATAGCGTAGTCATAAAGAGAAAATGACAGCATGCATCTGACAAATAGCCAGAATAAGAGGGTGAATTGCATCCTTTCTGTTTCTTTGTTGTGTACAGCATCTTCAAAAGCATGGTAGTAAGTTTTTATAGCTGTGAGAGGCAGAGATGGAGCTGAATATGTAATTCAGCTTCAATGCTATGAAGGTTAATACCGTGAGCAGCCCACAGCAGAACAGCTGTATCTTGAAGTAGCAAAACAATACAAAGTGGTTTTGGGGAGGGGCAAAAAAATCCCTAATCAAAAAAAGTAAGTGCATGTGGATAGAGATCAAAAAGGAAGGCTGTAGATGGAGATCTTGGCTAATTAAAAAGTTGCAGTGTTAGTGAAGTGGTTAAAATGAAAAGCAATTAGTCACCAAGGAGTCTGTGTAAAAGCAGGACAGATTTGATCAGCCTCAGAGTAGTTCACATGTGAAGATGGGAAAAACAAGTAGGCAAGAAGAAATTGGAATAGGCAATTTTAGGAGCTCGTGAAAAAGGGTAGTATAAAGGGTGTTGCTGTCTAGAAAATTGCTGTTGGCTGCTCTGTGGCAGTGTCTTCTAAGCTCATTAGCGAGTTAGTGATGATTTTACTGGCACAGTTACTTTGCTGAATCTTTTTTCGCACTTCGCATTTTTGTTTGCTGATAGTTTATCAGAAGGGGTTTTTCAGGAATGTTAACTCTTAAAAAAAATTATATATTGACCCTTGAATACTTTCTGACATGCAGGCATGCTTCAGAAATGGCCACCAGTGATTCCATCTGGATTTCTCTGCTTGTTGAGCAGAGGCCTCCATGCATCATATACCCTGCTGTTTATAGAGGTAGCTGTACATATGGCATGGAATCTCAGCCAGGGTTTGAAACTGCCTGTGCTATGCAGGCGCAGTGGGAGCCTTAGGAATTGAACTTCATTTATGGAAGTTGTCCATAGGTTTTGGAGGTGCCCTGTCTTTCTGTAGCCAGAAAAGATGGCTCAGCACTGAGGCTGGGAAACAGCCAAGTGAGACACTGGAAGCAACAACCTGTGTTATATTAACATAGTTGGAAAAAAAGCTGCCTTTGCTTGCTTTGCTTAACAGTAACTTGTGAAATACCTGAGGTTTCTTTGTGACCCTTTGACAGTCAGAAAGCACAAGTGGCCCTTGTTATTAAAAACTACTGCATGAAATATACCATGTAGTGTGCATGTTAAAATACTGAGCAATTGAGGTGAAAGAATCTGATCACTAACATAAAGGAGGGTCCTGTGATTGAGAAAGAAAAGAAATAGTCTTCTAAGACCACCCTTTCTAAAATAGACTTTGCCGCGTGTGTGACGAAAATTACATGGTGCTCTTTATTCTGGCTTTCCCAGATTTTCGAAATCCTGCTGATCCTGATGTTATTTTGGCCTCTGCTGTGTAGAGCCTTCTCTCCAAACATAGCTTACAAGGGACACAAAAGCAAAATGTTGCTCATGGCAAGCAAGCCTAAATCCTGTCTTTGGTTCTTACTTCTTGTGCCTGCAAAAGCAATTACAAGTTTTCTTCATCATCACTGAAGGTGTAGGGACAGTCTGAAAACTCACATACAAGCTCCCTGAAGGCCCAGGTCTGGAGTCGCCCTGTCGCCATGTACCTCACAGTTGGAGAAGTCATCTTTTTATGTCTAAAGTTAAGACTGCAGACTTAAAAATGGTGCCTTCAGGGAGGCCATGTTATGACATAAAGGAATCAAGTGCTTTGTTCTGAGCCCTCTAATCAGCTTATGCTCAAGTATCACTAAAATCAATGTGGTGAGTCCTGTGAAATGAGTGGTGGACACTGTCTTGTTACATGGAACTTCATTGCTACCATTAGGGTCTGTAGCGACTGGGATACATATACCCTCACTGGTCAGCAAGAGAATAATTTATTATTTATTTCAGGCCTCTATTTATAGAAGAACTAGTTTCATCTTTAACCTATCAACAAGCAATTCTTGGTCCTATAAAATTACAGTATACATATTTCTACCTATCAACAACTAATGTCCATCTTTACACCTATCAGCTTTCGACATGCTTTTTCTTTTCTTCAATCTTCTTCTTGTTCTGGGTCACACGACCTTTGGCTCCACGCACATTGTAGACGCTTCCTCCCACCTTCTGTCACATTCTCTTCGGTTCTGGCAATGTCCTCTGCTTTGGTAACCCTTTAAGTTCTGATCTGGTCCATGATCCTCCACAAGGGTCTTCTCAGCAGTCTCAGTAAAACTGCCAGAAATGTAGAAAGGCAGGGCTGACTGACAGATTTTCTCCTCAAGGTGATCTGTGTGGATAGATGTCAAGGAACATCAACAGCAGCATCTGAAGGGTCATAATGTGGGATCATCTTTTTCTGTGATGTGCAGGCTTTGAACTATCAAGCAATTTTCATTGGTAGTTCATCTACTGCAGTAATTAGAAAAGTACAGTTTTATGGAGTACAGCTTGATCCCATCCACAGCTCATGATCTGGTCCTAATGTCTTGTTCTCTTCTGAATTCTTTGGAGTCTTGCTTCGCGCTAGAGTGATTGTGAGCAGGCTTATGACAAGGCAAGCTGGAAGGCAGCTTGGAAAGGGTTTCCCTTGCATGGGAGGATTTTCAGACCAGACCAGAGTTCCCAGAGCCCGACTCTTGAAGGTAGACATAGGCTGGTATAGTTGTGAGGGCATGGTGCTCCGTGTTTACAGAGAAGTCTAAGATTACCAAAACTGGTCTTCCTCTTGGGTTGAGACTCTGTATTGTGGTCGTGGTTTAGGCACAGTTGGCCTGTTCTCAAGTCCTTTACATAACCAGCAACATTCTGTTGTGTGCACCCTTTGCACATACATGGAACTCTTCCTTCAGGAGATCACAAGACAGTTCATAAATTCAAGTATTCACTTTGTAGGTGAAGTACAGAAAGATGAGCGACTGCTGAGGATTAAAAAGCTAATCAGAGGCAGAGCAGAGAACTTAAATAACACTCTTGTCAGCTGCTTTGTCGTTATTCCTAATAGGTGTTTGCAAAAACCCCAACATTAAAGTAACACTTAGAGATGGCTGATACGAGATGTAAATATCTAAACTAGCACATTTACTGTTCTGCCTACCATTGACTAACATTTTGATATGTTTGTTTCCAGGAACACCTGTCTGGTTCTTTGTGAAAATTGCTCCAATTCGAAATGAGCAGGATAAAGTGGTTTTATTTCTTTGCACTTTCAATGACATAACAGCTTTCAAGCAGCCCATTGAGGATGATTCATGTAAAGGTTGGTCTTTTTCACAATTATGTATTTATGATGCTTTTGTTTGTTTGCCCTGGTCTTGAAAGAGCTGAAGTCCTTTAAATACCAAATCCAAAGAATTAAATGTTACAATAGCTTGTAGCCGTGCCACTGGGGACAGCATTTGTGCAAGGAATGGTTGCTGGTTTTGTAAGCGAATTGGCTCTGGCCTGCCCTGGAAAGGGTCATTGCTAATGAAACCCCCAAGTGGTTCAGAAAGCACGTTTTATTTAGTAGATAGGTACTGCTCTTCCTTTTAAATACATTATTAACCCACAGTCCAGCATAGCCTTCAGGGATTCATAATGTTGCTAAACAGCTCTGTACAAATTGTGCATGAAACTGTATGCAAAAACTGAGGAATTAACCCTGGCGGAGTCTGGCAAAGATCTGAATAATTTCATTATTCTTGCCGTTATTGTGGGATTCCTTATATTCAAGTTCTGGACTAGTTCCCTTTAACCTATGTGAAAAGATTCATCTGAAGTTGAATCAGGTTTAAGCTGTCCTGGTGTGTGAAGTAGCATTGCAGTGTTCTGCTGTTAACCCTTCACTGAGTTACAGCCTGGAAACCTGGAAGCAAACTCAGCTGTGACAGCAGCGTAAACTTGCACTCAGGTTCAAATCCTGTCAGAAATAGACCTTTTGTACCCATAAGAAGCATTACAGAGATTCGTGTCCTTCTGTTGTTTGCATTTTTGTAGTATTTAATAATATTTGTAGTATTAAATTAAACAGGAAACTTACTGTGAAGATGAACTGATTTACATTTGTTTTAAAAATGTTATTCTTTAAAAACATAGTTTCTCAAAGTGGAAACACCTGTTACCATGAAAAAGGAAGTACAACCTTGACAAACATACCCTCTCCCAGGTTATGTGGGTAATTTTTTTTCTTGTTTTATTGCTATTTGTTTGGGCCTTTATTACTTTAGTAAAAGTAAAAAACTTACCTTGTCAGAAACTTTGGGTCTACAGTATTTTTCCTCTGCCAAGTGGTCTTCACTGTATCCTAATGAGGACTGACAGCAAAGCTAAATCAGTGTGATGCAGTAAAGCTGGCTTTCATTTGTTTGCTGGTAGTGAAGACCTTTGTTTCACTTAGTTGATAAGCAGGACTTACAGTCAGGAGTGGTAGCTGTCTTTTCTCTTTGCTTTCACAGGAGTTCCTTAATGCTGTAGAGGTAGGCAGTTTGTCCTTCACTTTCGACACAAAGAAACACTGTAACTTTTTTGTTTTCAAGACAAGTATGTTGAAGAAAAAGAATGCTAATTTTATTTTATTTTTTAAAATCTCATTAGATCTTGAAATCATGCTGTTGTTGCAGTGATCATGGTAATTCTCAGCAGTGGCATATCTACAGTAATAAAAGCACTAAACCTACATAAAAGTGAGGAGTTGCAGAGGAGTTAATGATAAGCAAAATTTCTTCCTCTAGCCTATGGAAGCTGGTAGAGTGACTAACAAAGGTTGCAGACAGAAGAACTGGATATATTATTTAGAGGCCACTGATTCACAGCTCTGTACTTCTTCCCTGAGCTATCTCTGTATGTACAGAAGGGCTTGTGCACTAAATGAGTCTTCCAAATATAATTTCTGGATCTCCTAAAATTAATAAAGTTCCGGCAGATTCATGCTGATAGGGAGTTCTCTGTCACTATATACATAGATTAGGCATGATATAAATGAAACTGCATTTCCTGTTTTCATCCTTAATTTAACCTTTATACCTTTCTTCTGTAAGTTAGTTGCTGTAGGCTAGCTTTGAAATTTTGTTGTGTGCATTTAAGAAGGTGATACTGTATCAGTTATTTGATGGCTAAATAAGCAATTTCTTGGAAGAGCTGATTGGTCAAATAGTCAAACAGAAGTTTACATGCATATCCATGACTTTAATATTAGATCTCATTGTGCAGTTGTATACTGTAAAGGGAAGAGGGGGAAAGGTACTTATGGAGTGTCAGACAATTGTCTGTAGTAGACTCTAGAATTTACAGAATGGAAAAACCTTTTTGGAAGATTTAAAAAAGGTGGAATTGTATTAGCTTCTTCTAAGAATCATTATTTTAACAGATGTGAGCTTTGAAGAGGGCATATTCTTTGTGCTATATTCAACATTACATAGGAATTTTGTTGGTTTTGAAAGAACAATTTTCAAAGGTATATTTCTGTATTCTAAACCCAAATGAGCTCTCAATCTGAAAAACTAAAACTGTGAACTTAGTGATCGTTTAAGTGAAACAATTGAAAACTGATTTTCCTTCTTTCACCTTCAATCAGCTTTTATCACTTTTACCAAGTCTATATGTGAAGTTAGTTTTCTATGCATATGACCACTCAATATGTAATAGGCTGCCTGTAGAAGCAAATATTTTATTAACATATGTGCTATTTGCACAATTTCATAGTGGCATAAAGTATTCATGTTTTTCAAAATCAATGCGTTTATGTCTATGTAGAGAAAAACGTTATGTAGTACAAGAACATGATCAATTTGAAGAGTAAATAATCTGTCAGGCTAAACCTGATTATCTGTGGTATATTAGTTTTCTATCACCTGCTGGCAATTTGAATCCTGATTGTTCAGATGCAGATGATGTAGTGACTTTTTGATTGAGAAGTGTGGAGCTCTAATGGCAGGTGTTTGCTACACAAAAATGAACTGGCATCTTTTATCTGAAGGTGACTCAGAGATAGAAGGTCCCAGTACTGTTTTTCATCTTAGTTATTTTTTAATTTATTAATAATATTAGACACTGGAATAGATGAAACAAGAAAATATTTCTGAAGTCATGTAAAGGGTAGACTTCATATTGTAGTCTTTGTTGATTGATTCAGATAACTTACAAGATGTTTATTTTATGACTGCCATGGAAGGTAAGTAAGCTTGCTTTTAAATGCAGCAGCTTTAAAAATAGTGCATTCTAAATAAAACTACTTAAAAATATTGTGCCCGTGATGTGGATGATATAATATTTTTAAACAACCTCATTCCACTCTTTCCTGTGTGCTTGCCCTTTAAAAAATCAGGGAAACTAGGTTTACTTGAATAGAAGTAGGCAAAATCGAGCTATATCATGGCTAAATTTGGCTTGTCAAGTGGTAGGTCACCTTCTTAGCTTAATTTTAGAGTATATGCTGTATTTAGAATTAATGCATTTTGTCTGTATATGTCTTTCTTGGTTTGAGATCTAACAAACCAGTGTTAGATGTTAGAGAATGGTGTAGAAAGTGAAATGCATCACTTCGTGAAAACAACTATGTTTGAAGACAAATAGAATCTGTGCTTGCCCTCCAAGTAGCTCATAAGAAGTTTGCCTGAACAGGTTTTGAATGTATGAATACAATGGGAACATATTCAGATGCATCTATGCTGCCTTATAAAACTTTTGAAATGATGCTTTGGATCCTAATTTTTGCTTTTGATATTTTGTATTTATACAAAAAGGTGATAAAATTAAACATCATTGAATCATATAGGAGAATGGTTATTAGCCTCCTAGATATTGTAGCCTCCTGTGCTGTGTAGCAATTATCAGTTGCTATCTTCTCTGCAGAAAATGCTTTATTTCATTTTGCAGCTAAGCTGTCCTTTGCATAACAAGCAGGGCTACACACCAAAAAATATTTTGATTGCCTCCTTCATCTTAATTCAGGGGAAAATCCACATTTCCTTTTTATTTTTCCTTTTTGTTTCTGTTTTGTGTGTGTGTGTATGTGTTTTTTTTGTTGCTGTCTAATTTTTTGTTCTGTTTTTAAAGATGTATTTATATGAACAGAGCCAGTGTTTGAAATATTTTGATTAAGTTATACTCTGCTTTCATCTGGACGAAATGTTTTCTTAAAAAAGGAAACAAATGAAAGGGAAGTGGTGAGTATATTAAAAAACTCTGGTATGCTTTCCCAGTCCAGATGGAAAAATAATACAGTGTTAGTCATGAGGTTTCAAAGGGAAGGAGCACTGCAGAGAAGCATGATGGATGTAAGCAGGGATCTTTGATGTGCAAGAATACAAAGGTGGTTTGAGTGGAGGCAAGAACTGCTGGAATTCTGCTTTTCTCACGTTTACATAGTTGTGTGAACAATAGACCCGTGGACAAACAAGCTTGTTCTCTGGCAAGGAATAGCTCCTTCTAATTCCAGGTGTTGTGTAAGTCATGGATCAGCAACTTGATAACAAGCGTTCTGCAACTGCCACAGTTCCTAATGTTTAAATTTACGAGTCATCATGATCAAACTGAGGAGAGTGGTAGGAAACAAATAACTACCTACAAATAAATAATAAATGTTGTTGTGATTGAGTATCAACAGATCATGCTCACCTCAAAGTACAAAAAACTGGTTTCTTCAGCTTCAGACCATTGTTAAATACAGCTTCATGCTTGAATGAAGAAAAGGTTTGAGTTAAATATCACATCACAAAAGTATGTTTCAATGCCATATTTCCCCATGAAACAAAGCTTTTGTCCGCCTTGTGGGCATCTTGTGTTGGGTGTTTTCAGAAGCAATTTCTATTCAGCTTTTTGCGAAGAAATGGTGGAAAACTGAAGGAGCATCACGGATTGCAGGAGCGCTGAAATCAGTGCTGTTAATCTTGAAGGCTCTTTCTTCATCCTTTTGAAGCTGAAGGTGTTTTAGTGCCATGTTATTGTTTTGTCCCTGAATGATATTTTCTGCAGAACTGAAAAAGGAGACCAAACAATGATAAAAATGGGTTAGAATCAAAGACGGGCACAGGCAAGCTCAGCCATGGAGCTGGTATTTAGCTTTATGTTTGCTTCTTGAATTCCAAGCTGACTTCTCTACTACGTGAACTCTTACCTTGTTTGAGGAATATATATGCCTATATTAGAAACACATAGCCTCAGTAGATTTCAATTTAATTTATATTTTCTCTTTTTCTGGAGGAAAAGAATGGATGTAAGGATATACCAACTGCTTGTGTTGAATGAGAATAATCCACATCATCTGGTCCCTCTGTTCTAGCATGACTGACACCACTCTATTCCTACGCCATTCTGTAACTTTGTTTCTTGTCTTGGATAGATCCATGACCCTTAAAATTTAGTGTTTATGTTCAGTCATGTGGCTTAAGTCCATTACTTGACCTGTCTTCACTGGATAAATATCTGACTTGCTGTAGGCTGCATCTGTCCCTAGGATTCTGGAGGAAAAATTGGAATAAATTCAACTGCTGTCTTTTCAGAAGAAATTATCATTCAATAGTGTTAGTACTGGCATTCTCTCTCATTTTCATTTTCTTTCTCCACAGTCTACTGGTCTATTCTAATTTGGTGTTGAATTTCCCACACTTTTGTCTTTGTCAAAAAAGCAAACAAATAAACCCAAACAACCCAAAAGTCAGTACAAGGAGGAGAGTCTTCTGTTCTAAAGATGATATTCATACAGCTGGGACATTTGCATGTTGATTCAGTGCCTGGTTTTAGGCATACCATTGCACAGGTGCATGTGCCACTCCAGACTGGGCTCCCATGTGTTGTACCCTGTGTAAAGGAGGGTTTGGGTATGTACTCCTGGCCTGCCATTTTCACATCAGCACTGGTTTAAAAAGCCAAGCTGAAAAGCTTTGCCTCTTGACACAGTTTCTTGCCTACAACAAACAGTTGTATTGTTTTCAGATCAGATTTGGAGTATAGGGTAAGAGGTCTGATGTTCATGAAAACAATTCTTTTGTGCACCATTTAAGCATCCACAAGTGAGATTTCCAACATGTAGGGTAGATGAGATGCTTATAGGGAATGCTGGGGAGAGAGGAATGTGTTAAGCTGAACCTTTCAAAAGATGACTCCTGGGAAGAAGGGCAGGTACACAAAGGTGCTCAGCACTCATAGCCACAAATCATGCCACAGAGTTGTCTGTCAGTGCTTTTGTGCAAGAAAGATCAAGTGAGGTGCTTCCTTTTCCTCATATCTCTATTTATGTCTGAATAGCCCAAATCTTAGAACGTTCAATGTTAGGAAGAAAATGCACACTGAAAGTTTGTCCTCGGGTTTTGAACCAAACTTTGAATCTTCCTGAAAAATGCCCTACCCATCAGTTTGGTTTGACTTAGTAAAAGGAACTGTCTATGTTTATCTGGAATTATAAGTATTTTATGTCTGGCAAGGAAGGCAGATTTCGAGTTCCTGCGTGAAGCTGGAACTCTGTGGTCTGTTCTGTTCGTCGCCGGGGCTGCCGTTTGAAAACAAGCCCCGTTCGTTCTGGTTCAGCACCACGGCCAGCGCCGGGGCCGGCGCACCGCCGGACCGCCCGCTCTCCTGGCGGCCCTCCCTCGCCGGGACTGGAGAGCGGGCGCGTTGCTTATGTCCTCTTGGACCACAGCCCCCTCGGGCCTCGTCGGTCTGGCCAGCTGCAAAGTTCCCCACCTGGGTCGCGGCAATCCTAAGCACAAATACAGGCTGGATTGAGAGCACCCCTGCAGAGAAGGACTTGGGGATGTTGGTGAATGAGAAACTTGACATGACCGGGTGATGTGCACTTGAAGCTCATAAAGCCAGCTGTATCCTGGGATGTGTCAAAGGCAGTGTGGCCAGCAAGTCGAGAAATATGATGCTCCTGCTCTAGTCCAATCTTGTGTGATCCCTCCTGGAGTACTGCATTCATCTCCAAGGCACTCAACATAACAAGGATGTGGACTTGTTGAGTGAGTCCAGAGGAGGGTCACAAATATGCTTAGAGAGATGGAGCATCTCTGCTGTGCAGGCAGGCTGAGAAACTTGTGGTTGTTCAGCCTGGAGAGGAGAAGATTCCAGGGAGAATTTATAGCATTTTCCAGTACACAAAAGGGGGTCTACAAGAGAACTGTAGAGGGAACTTTTATCGGAACCAGGTTCTTATTATAAACTGAGTCTTCAAAGTGCTGAGCATCCTTAGGTGGAGTAGGAGATGAGACTGCTCAACAGTTCCCAGGTGGTGCTAACATTTTTCAAGATTGGGACTAAATGCACCAGTATTTTCCTTTCAGTGTACCACAAATGTCCAGATGTGTACTCTGCCTGACTTTCTGTTATGGCAAAGTACTGCCCATGAAGATTATAGTTGTAGCTAGCTCTTGTGACTGTCGTTCAAAGTCTTCTATTTTGAGGGGTATTTGAAATCACTGTAAAAAGTATTGTGAATTAAAATTCAGCATATGACTTCTCTGACAGAAGCTGCTAAATGTTTTATTAGAGTTTGAGAAAATCTATTAGTATATTCCCCCTTTTGTTTCGAGAGGATAAAATTAATGATTTTGTTTTGCTTTTCTGCTCTGCTTTTTATTATCTTTTGTATATTTCTCTGCTTATGCCAGATCTATGCTTGATACATCTGAGGTCAGATTCACTTCTGTTACAGACAACTGTAATTTTCATTCTGTGTTACTCTAGTCTTACACCTTGATTAGTCTGGAGTGTCTTCTGTGGTGCTGAGAGATCCAAATCTGGTGATTGGATTTAATAGAAGATTATTGTATAGTGGACACTTATCCTTGCAAAATATGCAGTTCATGTAACAGCACTCTTGTAGAACCATTGAATACAAAGCCACTGCAGTAATGGGTTTTATTACAGTACCATGCTGACACCTATTTTGTGACTTGCTTTTATCTGGTACTTGCTTAAATTATAGTCCCTTGTGGTCAGTATTAAAGCAGATTGCTCTGTTTGAACTTCACCTCCCCCCCCTTAGTTATAAGAGGTTTTATATGGTACCCTTGCAGCTTTTTTGGGGTAATGTGTATAATCTTGCACATTTTCTTGCAGGTTGGGGGAAGTTTGCTCGCTTGACCCGTGCCCTCACGAGCAGCCGAGGTGTCCTGCAGCAGCTCGCTCCGAGTGTCCAGAAAGGAGAGAACGTTCACAAGCATTCGAGACTTGCTGAGGTAATGTTTTATTCCCTGAGAGGCTGTAAAGAAATGTTTTTAGCCTTTTGGGGTATGTTATTTCTGTGTGAGCCAAGCACTGTGTCCCCCTTGCCCTGGGAATCTGAAGGCTGGTGGCAGGCATGGGAGCTCAGAATGCGGTATATGTGCTGTGAAACATGTCCCATGACAGTGGAATGGAAACAGAGGTCCAAAAGACTTCATGTAACCTAATTGCAGCATTGTGTTCCATACCTTATCAAAGTCATATAATGGCACTATTATTAAAATAATTCTTGCTTTGTTTCTATTCTTCTGAGGATCTCAACGTTTGTAGGATCTTGGACTATTTACTTATGTAAAATCGAGGTGAGAAAAACTCAGGCTAATACACAAGGAAATTCTGGAGAATCCTTGACATGACTGTTCTCTGAATTAATTTATGTTTGGTTACTTTTCAGTGGGATCCCAACTCCGCTTTACAAACTGGTTAAAATGTACGTTTGAATTACTGGCTTTACAGACAGAACAACTGTAAGATGCCACAAGTAACACTGCAGACAGATCAGGAAAACGAAACCTTGTGATTTAGGTAGTCTTTCAAAGTTTTGAGAAAAGCTCCAGTCAGAGAAGGCTCTTTGAAGTACTTAGGGTTTGAAGGCTTTCACCACGAGGGGGAGAGACTGTCCCAAGTTTCTTGTAGCTGTCTCCTGGGCCAATAGCAGGGTCTCCCTGGTGTAAAAACAGCTTAGGGAAAGGCTTGATGTATTATGTTAATGACAGCTTGGCCAATACAACATGTCAGTCCTGTTCTACTTATTGCCATGAAAGCCATGGCAGCAGCTGTGACTCTTGTCAAAAATTTTTGATCTTCCTCTGTAGCTGGAGGTGTAAGCATTAATGGGTTCCATGAAGTCTCCATATAGTTAGTACTCTGTTAGATTTGCCTGTATACACTTTAGTTTCTATGCAAAATAAAAACATCCTGGCCAGGCTGTACTGTTATCACAGATAATGATGAAATTGCCACCCCAGAGCTTACCTATTCAGTGTTTAATACAGAACTACTCAAGAATGGAAGTTGGAAGTACAGAAATCACATAGATCATCCTAGCACAAGGGAGGGGCAGACATTCACATAGATACTGTAATTTAGGTATACCGTGGGACTAGCATATGTCCACCCTGAGGTTGCTTTAGTGTCCTGGAATTTGGAATATTCTCCCTCCTAATCATACTCAAGGCTTAGCATCAAATAATCCTGTCGTCTCTTTAGATGTCTGCACTTGAATTTCAGTTCATGCTAAAATGTATTCAGTAGAATGTAAGGCAAAGGGTCTGAGGTTATTCTGTTTGGCTCAGTGAACCTCAGCCTGGACCTCAGTGACTACATGTTACTGAAATTTCTTGCAAGCCCATGTGCTCAACAAGTCTTTGCAAGTATTCTAACTGGCACAACCAATTGATTAATTACAAATAATAAAGGGCAAATGTATGGTTTACATATCTGAAATGAGTTTCTTTAGTTGCTGACTGAATATTGCAGTCATTATTTTACAAAGAACATTAACCCCAACTGTGATGTTAGGTAGCTTGTTGAATTTCTTCTGTAATTCCATTTCAGTCAATAGAACTACACTAGAGAAAAGCAGAGTGCAGATAATCATACAGACAAGGCCACTTTTCTTGCTTTGAAGATATATGGGGTGCCAGGATTCTTATTCTGGAAAGATCTCTTCATAATATTGAACATTGAATCTCTCACTGTTCCCTGTTGTATTTTCAAATATTTTTTCTTTTTTTCCCCCTTCATCCCTGCAGTAGTCTGTTTGAAATTTTAAGTTCAAATTAAAATTCATCCTTTTTCTTTTCCAACTCATTATGACATTTACCATCGATCTTGTTTGCATGAGAAGGCTCTTCATTTATTGGAATATTACTTGTGTCGCTCTTAGTTCTTTATCACTCATATTTTTGAATATCTGAGGAGTCAGTTGTGTCCTAAAACCTGAGTGCAGCAAGGTGTTGTACAAATAGGAAGCAGAAGCATGCCACAAAAGCTTATGATTTCTTTTATTGTTTATTAAATAGTTTAAGAAAGGTGTTAGTGACAAACTACATTGTTTTATCCTCAGGTCATGGGTAGTACAAGCAGTGTCTATGAAGCTTCAGTCTTTGACTTTTGCCAGTAGGCATAGATTTTTTAGCCTGACTTCTCTAATAGCAGTCATATGAAAACTACTTAAATAAATTATGCAATTAACACAAGGTTGTCAGGTAACTCTGAGGCTACATTTTGCAATGAGAGTGTAAAGTAATTAATACATTTCTGTGGCTTAATCACCAAGAAGCCAATTGTAGGAATGATTCTTCCTGGTCACTGCATAGTATGTGTGTCATCTGCACCTATGGTCTTAGCTGATGTGTTCTGTACACTTACAAGGCAGTTCTGGGTAAACAAGATTGTGTCATAAGTAAAAAAATTGCGATAGTTATAAGAAATAAAAGCAGAAACATTATAATGGTGCTTAGCAGCACTGCTTAATAATGGAACTCCTGCCTTTTTTTTTTCCAAACCTTGTTTACCAGGAACTTAAAACTGCCATTAAAATCTACTCCAAGTTGAGGCTTAGCACCTAGCCCTTAGCTTGGGAGCAATTTGTGTGGATGCCTGTGAAAACAAAAGTAACGGAGAGTGAGAGAGAGCAAATATGTGCAGTGAAAACATAGAAAGGAGAGATTAAGCTGGAGATAAGTGATTGTTTATGTATATATTGGCTTTTTCCCCTTCCCTCCAGTCACGCAATCTTAAAAATAAATAAGTCATTGTAACCACTTGTTGATGCACTTTTGGGAGTCCTGGCTCAGGATATATTCATAATTTTTTAATAAATTTAGGATTTTTTTTTTAATTTTGCTATGTTAAAAAAATCCACAAAAAAACCCCCAAACCCCCACAACCTTGTGAAACCCATGATGTAATTGGGGCATTTCTGCTCTTGAAATAAAATTCTGCAGCTTCAGAGAGCTGTTAAAACATCATGCATCATTACCACAAATAATAAATGCAGATAATACAGCTATATTATCTGATGAATCATAAGTAATTGAAATAATACTTTCATTAATAACTTTCTGAAAAAATACTTTTTTTACTATGATAAAACTGTATAATAATGAAAATTCTTCTGAACCTAAGGCTGTTTCAGTTATTTCAAAAATTATAGTAATGAAATTATCCAGTGCACATACTCAGCATATTGGTTTATATAGTTGTGTACGTTTTCTTCATGATTACTATTATATTAATCTCTTGGGGTTCTTTTTTCCTCTCCAGGAGAGGTACCTTTACAAGCAGTTTGAATCTAGTTAGTTCATATGGGTGGGTAACTACACTACTATTTCAGCAAACCTGTCTCAGGTTGGTGCTGCTCTCTCTACAGGCTGGAGTGCAGCAGGAACATCTTGGAGTACGGCAGAAGGTACTTCTCTTTGCATCTGCCTGGGTTTGCTATATGGTGCAGAGAGAATGGAGTTTGTAGCTCTTAATCTCCAGATGATCCAGGGGTGGTGTGTGTCTCTGGAAGGATGCTGAAGAAATAGACTGTGTGGGGCCCTTGGTGTGAAAAGCGTAGAAAGGAGCTCTTATAACTTCCAGTGCAAGCGACCTGACAAAACCTAGATCTTTAGCACGAAGCTCTGTGGACCTTCTTCCGTGATTTCTGTGCAGTACTGAGCTAAAGGCACATGCTTGTTCTCTGAGATAATTAAGCTTTGTTATAGGTGTGTTTCTCTTCCTTCAGTGAAACGAGGAATTTGCTGCCTTTGAAAGATTTTGTCTGGCAGTCCCAGATGCTGCAAGACCTTTACTAGGCTGCAAAGCAAATTGCCTTTCCTGGGAGAAATAGTGTGAGCTGGGACAGTGCCCTTCTTTCATCCCAAGCTGTGAAATGATGGTTCATCTCTAGCAATGCCAGCAAGGTGGAGTGGTTTTACAAGGTGCATGTAAGTGATACAGTGAGAGGGAGCCTGGGCTAGAACTTGTCACCTTCACCCCACCCTAGCAAAGGACTGGAAGCTCCTCAGCCTTGTTGCAGGTGGCTTTCTCACCTGGTGAGTGATTGATATCCCTATGTAATTCCTTGATGCCCAGCTCCTGCCCTGTCCCTGCCCCTCCATTCAAGATTCACACCTACAGTGCAGGTGCACATCCTTCTGCTGTAGACAGTAAAAGCCATGGCCCCTGGTCACTTTAAATGGCCATTGGTAGAGACTCCAATGTGGTAACAGAAGTTCAAAAGACTTATTGATAAGGTCCCTAGCCAGTCAGATAGTTTAGAGTACATTTGCTTTCTAAATAGAAAAGAAAGGAGACATCAATCCTTTCATTTTTCTATGCTGTCGCCCTTGAATCTCAAACAAGCTAGGAGAGAGTGCTTTGTATTTGGTGATGACATTTTAAAACACCCAAGTAGCAAAGTTGTTTATTTTCTTAACGAGTTGAAACTAGAAGTCTGGTTTTTTCTGCTTTCAGTTCAGTCTTACATCCCTCCAGTTCCACTGACATGACTTTATTTCTTTTTCATTTGCAGCAAAATAATGGACACCATAATTTAGACCCTGCTTTATTGCCAAAAAGATTGTTCTTGCTTTTTTCCTATTATTTGGGTATACAAGAATATATTAGTACATTTTCCAGTACCTATAATTTGGTTGATGCAAAATTTCCACAAGTTCTTGGAGTACAAAAAGAGCAGCAATGACCAAAATGGAGTGCATTATACAATTCTCAGTCTAGAACTTATGAATTTATGTATGAGAACCAATCTGACAAGAACTAAATAAAATATTTTTTTCAGAGTTTATTGGTTGAGGTTCCTGTGCTGATTAGAATGGTTACCAAAAAATTTGATTTATTCATATAATAACAGAGGCTAAAAAAATAAGCTGTATTAGGCCTGTGATTGCAAAACAAGCAATTATATTTTCAACCTGCATTTATGAGGTGGTACCATCTCCCCACAGTAGTAAGATCTCAGCATTAGAACTGAAATCTAGTTAACTGACTGATAAATGTTACTATGTGATAGAGATGTTTGGTTTGCTGATCAGTTATTCCAGTGAGTGAGTATTGCAGAGGACTCTCCTTGCCCATATTTCAGCATATTTTGGGCTTAGGATCTTAGAGCTGCTACTCATGCAGACCCTCAAAAAGGCCAATAGTAGCTCTTTGCTTTCCCACTGGTTGAGATACAGCTGTGATGTGCAAAAGGGAGCGCAGGAGATATTTGCAATATTGATCTTGGGCTAGAGCTGTTGTTGAGAAAAGACATCCTAACATTTGTCACTGGGATTGCAAACAAGCCTTGAAGGCAGAGACACTCTGTGTACACATACTAACTCAATACCTCACCTCTGCCTCTTCCAGTCACTACCAGTGACTTCTGGGGACTGAATGGACTGACCGGTGCCTCCTGCAGAGAATAGAGACTACTTCTGTCTTGTGCTGCTTCCAACTCCTCTTACCATAAGACAACTTTTTTATTTGCTTTTTTTTTTCTTTTTTTTTTGGTAATATGGAGAAACTATGTGAATCAGGGTCAGGAGTCATAGACTACTTAATGCTACAGGGAAGATGTCTGACTCTTGGTTTGGTCCGCAGGGGAAATGTTCATTTTTCCACTTTGCTGTCATTCTATAAACTCAGTGAAACAAAATACTACGTCCTCTTATTTTTAAAAATTTTTGTTCAAACTGTTGATGCCTCTGTGCTAACATGCAGGTCTCTCTGAGCAGGTCATGCTAATTCTCTTCAGGAGAACATACTGGACTCAAAGTCAGCGGGCTTGCAATTCCCATTGTCATTTACACATGTGCAAGAGACTGTGATCTGACGGTGTCTGACCCCTGTTGTGTACAAGATGTAGCCATTATGTGAAGTTCAAAGCAGCAGGGAATTTGATCTAGGACTGTTTTGTCCAAATAGGACTCTTGTAGCTGATTGTTTTGTTTTGTCCCCATTGGCTTAAACTGTTGGAAAAAAGCCCACCAGTTCAGGGAAAAAAAAAAGGCACTCAGAAAAGCCTGCAGATAAAAATCCATGTCTAAATAATTGACATTAAAAAAGCTAAGATAAGGAGCATTAAAGGAAGACATCCTTCTATTATAGCTGTGATGTCTGATCTTCTCCCTGAGAAAGATGACCATTTAATTTCCTTCTCTACCCCCTATTGCTCTGAACTATGTGTAAATAAATGTGAAAAAGGAGCCATGGTCCTAGTTTTTTTCCCAGGTTCTGTGAGTTTGGCACTAGCAAACACATTTCACTCTAGCAAACCTCCATCTTCCTTTCAGTTTTCATCCTTAACTCATCCAGGGTAAATTTAATTTTAAAATTTCACTTTTCTTTATTTGGGCACAGTTTCTTCATGTTGATTTCACCCTCATGTGTATCCATAGATATAAACAAACACATTCTTGTTCATAGGTATGTGGAAGAAACTTTATTTCCCAAGAATTAAGTACATGATAATACTGTTTACAGACTAGTGGGCAGAACTGGAGAGACAGTAGGCAGAAAATGGGCAGCATTGATCAAGCTTGCAGTTATGCAAAACAGCACTCAGTGTCAGCATATGCTCAGCCTGAGGTCCAGGGTTTAAAACATCATCTTTTGCGGTAGTGCATTTTTGAATTCAGACCTAACTGCATCGTAGCTGGATGGTACACCTCAACAGGTCACCTCAAATACTGTGTTCAGTTTTGGGCCCCTCACCGCAAGGACACTCAGGTGCTGGAGCGTGTCCAAAGAAGGACAACAAAGGTGGTGAAGGCTCTAGAGAACAAGTTTGGTGAGGAGCAACTGAGGAAGCTGGGGTTGTTTAACCTGGAGAAAAAGAGGCTCAGGAGGGACCATATTGCTGTCTACGACTACCTGGAAAAAGGTTGTAGTGAGGGGGAGATTATTCTCTTCTCCTGGATAACAAGTGACTGGACCAGAGGAAACAGCCTCAAGTTGCACCAGCGGAGGTTTAGAGTAGATATTAGGAAAAATTTCTTCACTGAAAGGGTTGTCAAGCATTGGAACAGGTTTCCCAGGGAAGTGGTGGAATCACCATACTTGGAAGTGTTCAAAAGGGGTGTGGATGTGGCACTCGGGGACGTGGTTTGTTGGAGAACGCAGTGGTAATAGGTTAATGGTTGGACTCCATGGTCTTAGAATCCTTAAAGTTCAGAAAGACCCCTATCTTTCTAGATTCTACACCATGAAGTAGTTAAGACACTGAACTGCTCTCAGTGAAAAGTTGAAGTTCAAAATGAGTTTATTGAGGTTAATGATAATTATCCATGGGCTTTGGACCTGCACAGTCCAGAGAAGAGGAAGAAAGACCCATGCATTCATGACAGATTGTAGTATAAGACTATTTCAGACACAGTGTAGTGTTAAATAGCCAGTGTTGCAAAACAGTGTGGTCCAGTTGTCCCAGTGCTGGATTGCAACTCAGAAGTTATGGTATTATTCCTGGTTTTACCATTGATTTCTATTCACAACTGCCTTCCTGCCTGTTCTTGCCAATCATTTATCTGTCTTGTCTATTTGGATCACTGAAGAAGCTGTCTTGGACACCCCACATATTAGACTTAGTGTCAAAAAATAAGTAATGGTATTAAAAGAAATAACTGTTCTTGGTTTGATGCTGATCTGTTCAATGGAATACTTATCTTGACATGCTTACCATTTTGTGGTGATAAAAGGAGTTAATGGACATTTATTTTTACCAACTATTGTACTAAGCTTGAGAATCTACAGTGTGGAAAAATATCATGAAAAAATTAAGCATGTTTTCCTTTTCTCCTGAAATCTCTGTGACTACAGGTATTGCAGCTGGGCTCTGAAATCCTCCCACAGTACAAGCAAGAGGCACCAAAGACTCCGCCACATATAATTTTGCATTATTGCGTTTTCAAGACCACCTGGGACTGGATCATCTTGATTTTAACCTTCTACACTGCTATTTTGGTTCCTTACAATGTCTCCTTTAAAACCAAACAGAACAACGTGGCATGGCTAGTAGTTGACAGCATTGTAGATGTCATCTTTTTGGTCGACATTGTGCTCAATTTCCATACAACCTTTGTGGGACCGGCAGGAGAGGTGATCTCTGACCCCAAACTGATCCGCATGAATTACTTGAAGACCTGGTTTGTGATCGATCTGCTCTCGTGCTTGCCCTATGATGTCATCAATGCATTTGAGAATGTCGATGAGGTCAGTATACTGGTTCCACTTCCACCCATTAGTTATTACTTAGTGGTTGGGGGGAGGTGGAAGTGAGAAGAAAGAAATGTATGCTTTTAAATATATTGAGTTCCTGTACATATGTCACTAGTAACCACCCACAGCATGCATGGAAGTTTGCTTATGAATCCTAGCCAGAAACGTCATTCTTTAGCTGCACCGGGAAAGGCTGTAGTTTTTGGTGTTAAAAATCCGCATTTACTTTACTTCATTATGCATCCTCAGAGTTCGTGAGGACAGACAGAAGCAGGCAGCAGAACCTCTGTACAGCACTGAGGAAAACTGTTCTGTCTGACTTACTATGAATAGCTTGAACTGGTGTGTCAGGACAGTTTCTCAGGTCAGGCTTCTCTTGCTTTCACTGCTGACTGAACAGGGTACGTCTGCTAATGGCAATTCTTCACATGAACAATTGGGAAGTAAAATATACTTTTCTCAGCTGCTTCTAGTACACTATAGCAGGTGAAAAAGAGGCAGGCAGTGACTCACCAAATCTTAGACCACCAGAAAGCACTGTGTGTATATCTGGTGATCCATGCAACATTGTCTGGCAACAGTTGTTTTAGAGGAAGGTGAAGAAATTGAAGGTGCTTTTTTTGGTAATTTCATAATTAGATGAAAGGATAGGAAACCTAGACTCCTCAATTCTTGCTCATTTCTTTGGGAACAGATCACAATCCAGCAAAAGAACTACCATTCAGACACTTAAAACCACAATGCTGTCTCTGCTTGTTCTTTTGGATCAGTCTGCCAAGAAAATATTCCTAAATTAAATATATTACAGGTCCACGCCTAAATAGTTCAGAGAATTAATGAATCGCTAATAAAATCTTAAAGAGGATTCCAGCAGTCTGCTTTCTGGTTACATATTATAAAATATGTATCATCAACTAATTATGTGTCTAAATTTATCTCTTACACATACTAGAGATGTAACATGCAGAATCACAGAGTCACAGGATGGAGGGGGTTGGAAGGGGTCTCTGGAGATCATCTAGCCCAGCCCTCCTGCTAAAGCAGATCCATGCAAAGCAGGTTGCAACAGGATTCCATCCAGGTGGGTTTGAATAACTCCAGAGAATGAGAGGGATATGCATATGGATCTCATCGGGGTTTAGTATTTAATTTTTATCCTGCAAAATTTAAATTTTATGAGTTCCTTTAAAGTGTGACCATGTTACAAAGGACAGCCTAGCTATCAAAAGAAAACTAAGCCAAGTGAAATATATGGGCAAAACCAAAACCACATTACTTTTTTAAAAAATACACTACTCAGGTTTTTATAAAATTTAAAGTATTATAGTGATTTTCTCAATGGCTCAAGGACAAGTAGGCAAGCTATTGAATGTAGTAGAAAAAACATGATGTTATCTGATATTTAATTCCCAAGAGAAATTTTCATTTTATATCAAGCTACAGACTGAGATAACACAAACGAGATGAAACAGGCCTTGTGAGACCTGTCCTTAAGTATTTGTTTGTCATAGAAAGGACCCAGACTTCAGATTATTCTGCAGGGCTTTCCATATTACTTTGCTGTGCCACTGATAAAGTGACAGAAGCAGTGGCCATATGTCAGTTTCTGACATTTAGACTGAAAGAGCAAAAATAATAAATAATAATAATTATAAAAAGAAAGAAAGAAAGAAATTAAGCAAGAGACAAAAAAGGGAAGGAAGCTTTTCTCACCCGCTACAGATAGCAGCAACATGGTGATGATTTTGCTGGAGGAACACTTTGTAACTTTAGACTGGTTATGTGACCTACAGAACATCCCTGAGGAAAATGTCTATACCAGTGGCTGTGACAGCCCTCAAGCTGAGCACGGATGCTTTTGAACTCATGGTAGCAATTCTGCAGAGAAATACTTGTGTAAGTTTGAATTTATCCAGGTTCTCCATCTCAGTATTGCCTTGTAACAATGAGAAGCTGATTGGTACTTCAGTTTTCCTACAGCTCTTCAACAGTCTCCTTAATCAGTATAACAATGTTAGTTTTAGTTACTCTGCTATCATGCCCAAAGAAAAAAAATAGCCAACATTTTTCTTGATGCTATCCTTTCAAGACTGTTCATCTCCATTTCCCGTAGTGGGTTCTGACATTTAGCTGGTATAAATCATTGTAGAGTCATTAGAGCAGAGTTTCCACTGGTGTAAGTTGCTATACTTCTATTAAGGGTTTGTACTGGTTTATAGGACCTGAAGGGATTTGCCAGCAAATTCACTGACAGAATAACATAGTGCACATCAGATGGGGGTTTAGGACAGTATATGCTGATCACTGTTTCAAGAACTGCCTGTAGAGAGAAAGATAACCTTTTATTAAAGAGGAAAAAATAAAAAAAGTAGAAAATCTTTGTCTGATATCTTCCTTTCTGCTGTGTAGAGCATTCCCTTTTAGGCCAACTCCCTTCCTTTCTTGCTGGTTTAAATTTTGCCTGTCTCTTGCCAACTTCACAGTTGGATTAAGTCAGGTGTGAGGCTGCGCTGCTCAAGTTACAAGTAATCAAACTGAATTGTTATCTGTGTGCCACCTTAATTTTGCGGAAAGGAATTCCCTTGGAGCCATTGCACTGAAGTCAGTAGGTGCCCATGGCTGCTGCAGAGATTTTTTTAAAAGTCATAATGTGAATAATCTTGAAAAAATTGCCAGAGATTAAATGATACCCGGTGTCAACAGTGGTGATAAAACAGTGGTGATAAAATGAGATGAAGAAATTGAATTGCTGTTTTCCTGTTTTGATGTTTTCCATATATGATTTTAAACAGCGGGAAGTAGAATCCTGGCTTTGCTGCAGACCCCATAGTGAAGGGGAACTGGGGCAGGTGGAACCTCACTTGTTTTCCTGTCTGCTGTCATTCTCTGTTAAAAAAACTGACACTGAAGACACAGAGGATGTCATGGAGGAACTAACTTGACAAGTCAATTTGTTTTTAAGAATGCTGTAATTACTGTGATGGAGACTAATTGATTTGCAAGGGACACAGGACCTGGAGCAATGAAGAAGTAAAAAACTGTATAATAGGGTACTGAGGCTTTTTTTGGCTCTGGACAATTTTGGGACTGTCCCATCACTTAGCTCTTGATAGATTAATTATGAAACCATTTTTATAATCTTTAAAGTGATCTACTAATATAAGAATAATTATAATAGATGAAAGTAGAGTTGGTTAATATTTTTGACAAGCAGATAGTCAATTGAAAAAAATTCTGTTATTGGATTTTTTCTATTTTGAAGTAACTTTTTATTTTGCAATTTACTTCATTATTCCAATATAAGATATATTAGAAAATATTTTCTTGAAACAAAATTAAGTGTTACTTCTGTGTTTTTCAGACAATTTCAAAGTTTTTTGGGTTTGTTGCAGTTTGGAACATTAGTATATTTTCAATTTACATTTTTCAATATAATTGAAATCCAGTTTCCTCTCTGCATGGTTGAGAATATTTTTGTCCTCAAAATTATTTGAATTCATTAACTATTGATCAATACAACTATTAATAACTACAATTAATTGAAGAGGCACTTAAGTATGAATAGCCACATTCTACAGATGGAAGAGGAAAGAAAAACCATTAATGTCCTTGTTCAGGGGCATATAATTAAGTATGAGACTGTATGAAGCTTCTGATCTCAAGTTCTGTGCTCAAAGAGGCAGTAGAGCATCTCATATTCAGACATGAACAGAATTCAACAAATAAAGAAATGAATAACTGTGGAGAAATTTCTATTGTTAATCCAAATGAAAGAAAAGTTATAAATGTTTCTCCTGGCTTTTATATATGGGAAGCTAATTATGCAGTTAAATACTGATTACTTTCTTGACCTGCCATAGAACTTCAAGAGAAGAAAATATACCACTGATTGATGAATCAATTTAATGCTAGGCTTGAACTTTCTATTGTTAAGACAGTACATCATGCTGTAATTTAGTTTGAGTAAGAAAAGACAATATTGGTCTGAAATTTACACAGCGCTTAAAAATATGTGGTGTTAGTCTTTTTCGAATTTGAATGATCACAATAACATTTATCAGTAATCCTTTACAATAATTAGTATTATTCCTCACTTAAGGAAATACCACATACTTTGGGGGATAATGTTATCTTTTTGTGTTCAGACATCAATCAGTAAATTTAACAAAAACCAGGCTTAAAGAAAATTCCACCATTTTTTCCAAGAACAGTGCAATTTAAGGCCTTGAATTCCAAAGCATACTTTTGCAGTGTCAGCTTGAGCAATTTTATACTGTGGTTTTCGGCCATAATACCGTAAGATGTAATTTATATTGGAAAAAATTTGACTTATTACATGCGATGCAGTTGTTGTGAAATCTCATGGTACAAGTGGAATCCAGTCATGTCACCACCATATAAATCTCCGAAATGGGGAGTTTTTAGTAGTAATTGCTATGTGTATTTGAACAGAACACTATGATCAATTGTTAGTTGATGCCAAATTGAGAACCATATATCAGTCTATTAGATGAGGTAGAAGAGAAATAAATGCACAGCCAAAGGTCATCAGGAAAGATGTATTCAATATAAATGATCTAATGTTCACTTAAGTGAATGAATAAGAGAGAAGCTAGCATGCAGGCAAAGAAGATACACAGCTTTGAAAGGACAACATTTATGATGATAGAAAAAGTTCCAGAAAAAAAACGTAATACAGATGTAATAGAAGTAAATTAAGCTATTTAGTGCTAAGTAAGTAAGCGTGGTGTAGCTGCAAAGTAAATAGTGAGTCGAGAGAGGAAAAAATGAATGTGTTGCTGGTCAAATTGTTGGCAACTCTCTGAGGCAGTACTTTTGCAATAGATTAATTTAAACCTTATTAGTGGAATAATCTCTCATGCTAATACAAATTAGCTATCTAGGAATTACTGAATTAGCTACACTGGAAAGCATGCAACATTCCTAGACTATTTTTTACTGTTGCATGCAATAAAGGGCAAGGGAATAAATTA